CTCAACCTCAAAAGTACTCTTTTTCATTCAGTTTAACTTCAATTAAAGTAGTCTGTCTCCCTCCTATTTCAAGTGTTTGATAATATAAATTACCCTCTTTTATATAACATATTCCTTAATGCAGATTTATAATTACCGTTTACATTTTTAAAGAGAATTTTAAATAAGTTATTTACTTAGCTAGAGTACAATAATGTAGGATTCTATATTTCCTTTAATAGAGAATTTTGTATTTATGTGTGTTGTGTTTTTATTTATCATCCATTTACTTCAATTCATAGGATTGCTTTGGTGTTTCTGGAGAGCAGAGTGCTTTTGCTAGGAAAGTTTTAATTTACCTTCCATACTTGAAGTCAGTTTCTCCATATGAAATTTTCTTGGTTGGGAGTTTTTTTTCTTTCAGTACTTTGAAATTTTCATCCTGCTTCCTTTTAGCCTACAAGGTTTTTGCTGATAAATTTGGTGGTAATCTAATTGGAGTTCCTTTGTATGTGGTGAGTCACTTTTCTATTGCTGCCTTGAAGATTTTTTGTCTGTGACTATTAAGTTTGTTTATGATGTATCTTGGATAGAGTTCTCAAACTTCTTGAATGAATATTTATGTTTCTCTTCACAGATTTGGGAATTGTGTGGCCATATTCCTTCAACTAATTTATCTTTCCCCTTTCTCTTCTTCTCCTTGTAGTGTTCTCTTATGTTGTCTGCTTTATGGTATTTTATAAGTCCTTTTGACTCAATTTTTATTCATTCTTTTTTTTTCTGCTCTAATTTAATTGTTTTCATTGATTCTTTTTCAACATGGCTGAGTTGGCTGTTGAGTTCCTCTAGTGAATTTTTCAAAAATATAGATAATATATTCTTCAGTTCCAGAATAAATTTTTATTTCTTTGCTAATATTTTTGTGTTGTTTAAGCAGTATATATATATGATTTTTTTTAGGTCTCTAACTGATTAATTCACTGATTATTGTTTTGACAGTAATTTTAAGTTCTTTTTCTGGCAATTCACATATTTCTGTGTCTTTAAGGTCAATTTCTAGAGCTTTGACTTAGTCCTTTAATTTTGTCATAGTTTCCTGTTTATATGTATTCTACTTTGTTCTTGGGATTTTGGCAGTGAAAAAATCAACCAATTCAGACTTTGTGATCTGATTTTCTACCAGCATGACTTTTACTATTAAGCTGAGCTAGAGATTCTGGAAATTCCCCAAGTTTTTTCTGCCTTTCTGAGCTTGCTGATTTCTATTTAGTAGCTCTCCCTGGTGACTCAGATAACTGTAGCCTCTCAGATGGTGTAGTCCATCTCAATACTGGTGTTCCACCTAGTGTATATCGGTGGTACTGCATCTGGTGCAAGCTTCATTGTCCTGAGATGCTTATCCTGGCAACTCACTCTTTTCAGTTCTTGGACCAAGACTGGTTTCCCTACCTCCCACATCTCCTTCTCCAGGAAGAAGACAGAGGTTGGGATCTTCAGCCCAATTGCACTATCCATGCTTATTTGGAAGAAGGCAATGGCAAGAGAGTGGAAAGTGTCACAAATTTCCCTCCTGAACATCCATATCATTAACTTCACACTGTCTAGGGAACAGGACAGTGATTTCTAGATTTTTTACAGAAGCATTTATTGAGTTTATTTCATTAAACCCATGTCTTCATGGGAGAAGGTGGGTCTAAGAGTTACTATTTTGTCATCTTGTCATTGCGCATAACTATATTTCTATTCTCTAGTGCCAATAGTATGACTTTTTTAGATGATTAGAACCTGTAAGTATTTTCATTTATGTTCTATGGTAAAAAGTCTATATGTGATTCTATCAGATGTGAGGATTGAACTATTATTTTTCTCCAACTAATGTCTTTCGCGTAAGAACCTTGCAATCTCTTCCCTTCATCAATGTAGTAAAACTGATTTTGATACCATTCCACCATTCATATTTCATTTTAAGTAACTTCCTGTATCATACTTAAGAATTCTTATTGATAATAAGTTGTATCTTTGTATACATTTCTCAAGTCCTTTCAACTTCATTTAATTTCTGTATAGAGGAAAGAAAATACACATAACTTGCCAGCCATAGAAAAGCTATATTAGACTTTTTATCTCTCCCTGTGAACATAGCCTCACATGTAACACTTTAGGTTCTGGGAAGATGGAAGTTCATGAAATGTTCTTTTAGTGTCTTTATGACAGGCACTGTTCTAAATATTGAAAACATACTAGTGAACAAAAGAGACAAAATATTCCTGACCTTAATAAGGTTTTATTCAAAGGAGAGCAGTATCTATTAAGCAGATGAAGAAATAAAATATAATAGGAGCAGAAAATCAAGTCATTTTAAAAGAACTGATCAAAGCCTCACTGTAAAGACACATTGAATAAAAACCTTAAGGATGTAAAGGAGTAATAGACTATAACTCTAGAAAAAAACTTTCCCTGTAGAAAGAACAAAGAACTTGAGAAAATACAGAAAGCCTTGAATGCCAAGATACAGTGAGGTTAGGGTACCTGAAGAGGAAAGACCAAGGTCTAGAATATAGAAGATGAAGTTAAAAAAGTGGGGAAGGGGTATTCAGTGAGGAGGACAAGTGGATCATTGGAAAGAATTTACAATGAGTGAGATGGAAAAACAGGAGTGGTGACATGATCCAATTTGCATTTTGTTAGAATTATTCTAGCTATTGTGTTAAGAAGGGGAAGGAACACCATGGCAGAAAGACCTAACAGTAGCCAATTGCTGTGTCACAGACTAGACCGAATGACACCGATAGTGGAGGAGGTTAAGAGAAACACCTGTTTTAGTTAGCTTGAACTGCCATAGTAGAATGCCATCGACAACGTGCTTAAATTTGGTTCAATCTGGGGGGCTGTTAGTCTGATGTCATGGAACCAGCTTGTCTGGGTTCCTGGTTTCCAGGTGGTCATTTTCTAGCTGTATCCTCACATAGCAGGAGATGAGAGAAGCAAGTTCTCCTAAGAACTCTATAAGGGTTCCACTTCCATAGTCTAATTACTGCTCAAAGGCTCTATCACCAGATATCACAGTGGAAATTAGGATTCCTACATATGAATTTGGAAGGAATAAAACCTGTAATCCATAACAGGATCAGATTTTAGTACTAGAGGCAAAGGAATTTATTGACTGGCACAGATGTTACAATGAAATTAAAAATAACCATCTGTAACAACTGGAATTCAGAGATTTTTTTCATTTTAAAATACTATTGACTATATCGCCTCATTGTGTTAATTTGGATTCCCCCAAAATAGTAAGGCTTTATAATGAAAATGTTCTATTTGTCACATGGCTACAAAGAGAGGTTAACATGTCCCCTCTCTTTTCACAGCAAATCTCTGCTGTTGCTTGGGAATAAAGAGTAGTTATTGTGAAGGCCATCTCAGACTTTCAGGTTCTTATAAATCTAGCTTCTTAAAAATCAGTTTTTGCGGGGCCCTCCCTGGTGGTGCAGTGGGTTAAAGCACAGACACTAAGAAGCTAAAGCCACTTCAGCATGAGTTCAATCCCCTGCCCCAGAGGTGACCCACATGGCGCAGCAGACCTCTCCTGACCCGCCCACTGCTCCCCTCAGTAGTATATTTTGTCATTTGGCCTATTCTGCTCCCTTCTCTGTCTCTGGTGAATCCTCTCACCACCCCTGCACCTCTGGCCTGTATCCCAGTTCTGTATGCATAAATAAACAAATTTTAAAAAAATCAGTTTTTGACATTAATTAACAAATAGCCTCTAATATCTGGTATTGTAATAAGTTAAAAAAATAGATGCTTTATCTTTATAGTAATGATAGCATTAAAAAGTCTAAGAAGTGCCAATTGGTATAGGGGAAGGTAGGTATACTCCATATAATTAAAAGCATTTATAAGAAAAAAAACTAGTTAAATTCTCTGTACATGTGTAGTACTTTGATTAACCGATTTCCCCTTGTTTCTTCTGCTCTTTCATAGATGTTCCTTCTGTCCATGACCTTCTGCTTTATTTCTAAAGCACTAGGTTTTGTTGTTATGAAAAGTTCCATCACTCAAATAGAAAGGAGATTTGAAATTCCATCTTCAGTTGCTGGCTTAATTGATGGAAGCTTTGAAATGGGTAATTTTTATTTCCACTTTGATTGTTGCCTAGTAACCATATTCACAGATGTAAAAATTGCTCCTTCATCCTCTGTAGCAGTGTTTCCCAACCAGGGGTAAATCTGCAGTTAGTCCCTCCGTGGTGGCACAGCAAGTTAAAGCACAGCACTAAGAAGCTAAAGCCACTTCAACATGAGTTCGAACCCCACTTGCCCTGGAGGTGACCACATGGCGTGGCAGACTGCTCCCCTTCATCGATCTACCTGTTCTGCTCCCCACTCTGTCCCTGGTGAATACTCTCACTGCCCCTGCACCTCTGGCCTGTACCCCAATTCTGTTTGCACAAATAGATAAATCTTGAAAAAAAAATCTGCAGTTAGACAATATCCAGAGCTTTTTGTTTGTTATAAGCTGAAGGGCAGAGAGGAGACTGCTGCTGGCATCTGGGAGTAGAGGCCAGGGATGCTGCTGAATGGCCTGTGTTGACAGGGCAGCTCCCACAATGAGGAGCCAGCAAGCAGCCTCACACATCAGTTTTGCAGAGATTGAAAAACCCTGATCTTGCAAACTAAGCCATTTCAGGGCTTTGTCCTACCTCTTTCAGGATGGAGGGGGGGGGTGGTGGAGAATGAGAAAGGATTATGATTCTGATGATTTGCAAAGGGAGGACCTGCTTTGCAGCAACCTGTGTGAGATTTCTGTTGTTCAACTGCATATAAAATGTGGAGTTCAAAGGTTCTTTTTAGAAGATTGAATATATTAGGGTTTTGTCTTCATTTTAACTTTATTTTCTTCAATAAAAGATGTTTAGTACAATACTGAGAATTTATTTTTTAATTTTATAGATTGATAGTTCAGGACCTTCCTGGTGGCACAAGGGGTTCAGTCTCAGCACTGTGCACCAGTTGAATCCCTGACCAGGGAGCTGACCCACATGGCCCAGCAGACCTCTCCTGTCTTGTCCACTGCTCCCCTAAGTATTTCAGTAGTCCTCCCCTACTGTATTTCAGTATATTCAGTATTCCTCCCCTACTGTATTTCAGTATACCTGCCTGTTCTGCCTCCTACTCTGTCTCAGGTGAATTCTCTCACCTCTCGGCACCTGTGGCCTACACTCCAGCACTTGTATGCATAAGTAAAATAAATCTTAAAAATAAATAAATTGATAGTTCATTAACTCTGCCCATTTGCCATCTTTTTACGTTTTTAATCATTTGAAGGAAAGCAAAAAGTATGTCTGTTGTATAGATTATATTTTCCACAAGTTTTCTGTTTGCCTTTGAAATTTCTTTAAAATATGTTTGACCATTAAGTACTTACAATATAATCATGTAAAGAAATACATCTACCCTTTGCGATATGAATTCTGCCTTTTCATTATTCAGAGATTATACCTACATATCCTTTACTTTTCCACCTCTTAGGTTCAATGAAGCGATTTTGAATTTAGGCTGGACTATGCTAAACTATTCTTTTAATTCTAATGTCTCTTTTTTTTTTTTTTAAAGATTTATTTATTTATTCATATAGAACTGGGGTACAGGCCAGAGATGCGGAGGGTGAGAGGATTCACCAGAGACAGAG